GTCTAATTCAGTACCAAATGCTACTTGGAAAATCGAGTCCAAGGATGATTTCATAAATAGATCCTACATTAATACCATAGCTAGTTGATTAGGATCATCAAATTGGCTTGGTTTCTTTTTGAACAAATGAGTTTTGCAAACTCACTTGAATATCAATTGCCTGGTTGGAAGTTGCGATTTCTGACACCTTATCAGCAAGTTTTGCTGCATTTTTCCGGAATATTACACTGCTGAAATCCCTCAACACCTTCGTCGAAAACTCATGGCTCGATATCTTTCTCTGCTGGCGCCACTTTTCACCATCAACTGCAAAAATTCCATCACCCAGAAGATCCTTCAGAATATTGTAGTTATACCATCCCTGCGCAAGAGCAAGTTAGACCTTGCCTTAATACCAAGAATTCACCTGAGTCCAAAAAAAAAGAAAAAAAATTCACCAAAAATTCAAAACTTAGGAGCACTGTGCCAGCAATAGGTGGGTGCTTCTTCTTTGCCTTGGTGAGTTTCCTTGCAAGTATTTGGGCAGTGAAAATGGATAAGGCTAGGACCAGAGCTGTGAGGAAGACGGGGTTTGAAAGAAAGTCCAGGGCTGATTCAGACAGTAATCTGTAGTCTTTTTTGTTTATATTTCACTGTTTTTAATATAGAGAGAAGAAAGAGTCTTTGTTAATGGTTTTTTTTAAGGGAGTTTCATTAAAACACCCAAAATGGGAACTTAAATTATAAAAAAACTCAACACCCAAAACACTTTATAAACACACTCAAAACTCATCATTACACAAACTCAAAACTTATTTATAAACACACCCAAAAAATATACAATTATTGATTTTGGATGTGTTTCTATGTTTAAATAGTGTTTGAGTTTTTTTATAAATACATGTTTAGAATTGGTTTTATTTATAAATTTGTATTTTTTTAAAAACTTCTGCCAAACTTTGTTAATGGTTAACTTAATGAATATAATATCACATTCTGTTGGTCGTTTGTGGTTGTATGCCACGTTTCGTGCGTGTGGCAATTATGATGGTCCAAAATTTTAAAATAGGTTTTGCCACGTGTTGTTAGGATTGGCATTGCAAAAGTTCATGGGTCTCGTTCTAGTAGGGTGGGCATCAATATGGCCCAACCAACTACATTTGCAGATTAAAATTATTGATTTGTTTTAGTTTAGTTTTGATAAAGAAAAAGTCAAACGGTTTAAAAATCAAATCAAACCATATATGATTTAGTTTTTATTTTTTATAAACTGGTCTAAATCGAATCGGAACGTATACTTGTATATATATATATATATATTTTTTTTTTTTTTTTTTCCTTTTAAAAAAATAGGTATTAGACATAAGTAACTTTACTAATTAGTATTTGAGATGTTAGGTATTTTTATTTGGGTTTTAATACCTAGGAAAGAATTTTTATTTTGGATTAGACTAAAGAGGAGGCCCAAATTCGTTGGTCTAGCTTAAAATAATAACTAAAAAGATAATGCTATCCTTCTTCTTAAAAAGACTGACCCAACTAATTATATTATGGTAAAAGCAAGTACTATATTTTGGCTTTTGGCTTTATCCAAATTAGCTGAAATTGAATTCATATTTGCCTAAATAGTAAACTATATTGTGCGTGAAAACTAAAACTCCCTCTCCGTGATTTTTGTCAAAACCAAACCGTTATATTGTAATTGGTTCGGCCGTGGTTTTAAGATAAAAACGATCCAATCTGGACTGTGCTCACCCCTACTTTCTAGACTGCTTGTTTGTGTGGGCAAAAACGAAAAGAAACGACATCAAATCTTTGCTGAGGTTCTTCCAAGATTGCAGAGAGTTTCTTGGGGTGATGAAAGTCACGGTTTTACATATTTGCTAATTTACATATATTTACAAGGTTGTTTCCATTATCTACTAATTACAAACAGAATACAGAGCAAAAACCTGCAAATATCATAACAATATCATAATATGTGATAACCTTGAACATTGATTTTCTTCAGATATAGGAAATTTTATCAGGTTGCCCTTGGAACTGCAAGCATAGGGAGGCTGCCATCTATGTGAAGGGTGAACATGGTCCTATATGTTACAGCTTTTGTTTCATCAGCCAATTTGAAGCGGAAGAAGCAAAGAAGAGCCATTGCTACTATCTTCATCTGCCGGTAAGCAAAGTCCTTCCCTAGACAGATCCGAGGACCTGCCTGCAAGTAGCACCAATTCAGTGAAACAACTATTAGTGAACATTAAGATGATTAAGCTATGTGACAAATAAAAAGAAATTAAGTTACTCACGTGAAATGTGACAAATTTGAAGGGTGATTCGGGCTGAAAAATTCCATTGTTGAGCCATCTTTCAGGCCGGAAATCGTCAACATCTTTTCCCCAAATATAAGGCATTCTGCCCATGGCATAGGCCATGTAGTGTACTCCATCTCCTTTTCTCACTCTAAAGCCATCAGGAAGAATGTCATCTACCTCTGCACATCTCCCATCCTTAGAGGAAAGCCAAAGACACAAAGAAGTCAACATTTAGTGCTTACGAATTTGGCCTTAATTTTAGTATATGAAAATTTCACCTTAATGTACAGAACCATAGATATTAAACTCATTTCCCTAATGGAAACTGAAGAATAATTAGGCCTAAACATCTTTGGTTTGATAATAGCCAACACAATGGGGTACTCTCAAGGAATATTTATCTTGTGGCGTTGGTTTTGATATATTTAGCACAGATTTTACCAAGGCTTTGGCACTGTCCTGTTCAGGTTCTCACAAACAACTATAACAAATAACAGTATCTCATTCAAAAACTATCCATAAAGAAAATTAATACAAGGTTTTTGGAGTATATACATACAATGGGAACTGCAGGGTATAGCCTCAACGTTTCTGTCAATGCCGCGTGAAGATAATGCATTTGTTCAAGAGTTCCATCAGTAATGTTCTCCACAAATTCATCAATTTTTGCTTCACCGACCTGATTACCAACAACATCCCTCACTTCTTGTACAACTTTTTCCTGTATTAGAGGGTTCTTGCTGAGCAGGTAAAAGAACCATGAGAGTGTATTTGCACTGGTGTCTTTGCCAGCAATCATAAAATTCAGAATGATGTCCCTTAGATATTTGTCATTCATTTCCTCTGGATCCTTCTTGCTCTCCAATAGAAACCTTGATAGTATGTCTTCCTTGTCATTCTTTGAAACATAACATAAAATTCAAAGTTTCATTAATAAAAACTGATGCTATAAAATGGAAACTTCAATGCAGAATCAAAAGAAAAATATATATATAAGCACATGGAAAGCCACTATACAAGTGTAAAATTCACTTACAACATCCTTTTGCTCCTCTAGAAATTTCCTCTTGCTCCTGATAACTTGGTGCACAAAATCATCAATGACTTTGACATACTTTTTAAGGGAGGCCTCGGAACCAAGGTTGAGAAATCTTTTCAGTTTCCAGAACGGATCAACATAGCGGAAATAGGTTAAAGCAGTTGATTCATCAAAGGCCTTCATAAATGCAGTCCCTTCTTTGCTTGACCCCTCCAAGCAATTCAGGTCTATTCCAAACCCAACTTTGAATATGGAGTCCAAGGTACATCTCATGAGCAAATCCTACAAAAAGAATCATAAACAAAAACAAAAAACAAAAAAAAAGTAAATAACAACTTATATCATTACATCAGCTGTTATGAAATCAGATTCATCTTCTATCTTCCAAGTTACTTACAAAATAGATAGGAAATCCTAAACTTCGGGAGTTTACAAGCTGAGTACTTTTATGGTATGATACATCCCCTAATTTCACAGATCATGATTTCTTCTCTCTACTCTTTTGTACCAAAAACCAGCCAAATTAAAGTTGACCTTAGCTCAGCCCTCTAAATTGATTAATGTTTTATCAAACCAACTTGATCAAGGGGACACTAAACAAGTTTATACCAGCCAGTTATATATTATCTGTATGTCAAATGTCAAATTTAGTTCTGCTATTATTATATAACCACCATGTGATTTAAACAAGACCAGAAGACAAGTTACAAACAAGAAAAGATATGTCGGCGTTTTCAGATTACTTACTTGCATATCAAAAACCCTCCTGGAAACTGAAATTTCAAAAATAACTTTAACCAGTTTGGCAGCGTTTCTTCTAAACACAGAGCAGCTAACATCTCTAAGAACTCTCGTGGAGAACTCAAAGCTCGCGAGCTTCCTCTGCTGCTTCCACTTTTCTCCATCAACAATAAATATCCCTTGGCCAAAAACATCAGACAGAATAGCTTGGTTATACTCCCCTTTCGAATAGCTGCCAAAGTTAGTCTTCAGAACATGCTCAATGTTTCGCGTGTCAGTTGTGTATATTGCGCTGTGTTCCGGGGCCAGAAGCCTGTAAGTTGTGTGTTCTTTGGCAACTTCAGTTTGGTAGTCATAGAGTCTGTTGAAGTAAAAGAGCTGGTGGAAGACAGTGCCTTTTACAGGTGGGTAGTTCGGGTTTCTGATGGACTTGCCTGTGAAGATTCTAAGCATGAAGAGGGATAAGGTTAGGACGAGAAAGAACAATATGAAGGTGAAGATGATATAGAAAATACCCATCTTTCTTTTAGCTAACTAGAGGCCTTACACAGAGAGAGAGAAAGAGAGAGAGAGTTTTGGCCTCTTAGGTAAGGTTGCAAACTGAAAGTGAAATGAAGAGGAGGAAAAAACGCAACCAGACCTCATGAACTTGATAGAGTTAGATATTGTTATGAGCATTATTGGTTTGGATAAGAAAAAGTCAATGGTTTGGATAAGAAAAAGTCAACGGTTTTTTATGAGCAATATTGGTTCGGAAAGGTTCATGGTTTGGTAATTTACATATTACGACAAGGTTGTTTCTATTTAAATATAACATATCACATGCTATCGTGTCATTTAATTGTATATACATAAAGATAGCGTTCAAACTCCAATATCACAAGAGTTTATGTGAACATTGTTTTGCTTCAGCTTCACATAGAGGAAGTTTATCAGGCTGTCCTTGGAACTGCAAGCATAGGGAGACTGCCATCTATGTGCAGGGTGAACATGGTCCTATATGTTACACTTTTCGTTTCATCAGCCAATTTAAAGCGGAAGAAGCAAAGAAGAGCAGTCGCTACTATCTTCATCTGCCGGTAAGCAAAGTCCTTCCCTAGACAAATCCGAGGACCCGCCTGCAAATAGCACAAGTAAAATTGTGAGTGAACACTTGGATGACTAACCTGTGTGATATAAAAAAAAATGGAAATAAGGTACTAACGTGAAATGCGACGAATTTGAAGGGTGATTCAGGCTGGAAAATTCCATTGTTGAGCCATCTTTCAGGTCGGAAATCGTCAGCATCTTTTCCCCAAATATAAGGCATTCTGCCCATGGCATAGGTCATGTAGTTTACTCCATCTCCTTTTCTCACTCTAAAGCCATCAGGAAGAATGTCATCTACCTCTGCATATCTCCCATCCTTAGAGGAAAGCCAAACACACAAAGATGTCAAAATTTTCAGTGCTTATAAATTTGGCCATAATGGAAACCTCTCTTCTTTCACAATAGCCAACACCACATGGTGTTGGTTTTTATAAAATTAGCACAAGATTTTATCAAGGCTTTGACACTGTCCTGTTTAGATTCTCATAAAAAACTAGAACAAGTATAACGAATAGCAAGCATCTCATTCAGAAAATCATAAAGCAAACTAATACAGGATTATTGAGTATATACATACAATGGGAACTGCAGGGAATAGCCTCAACGTCTCTGTCAATGTCGCGTGAAGATAATGCATTTGTTCAAGAGTTGCATCAGTTATGTTCGCCACAAATTCATCGATTTTCGCTTCACCGATTTGATTGCCAACGACATCCCTCACTTCTTGTACAACTTTTTCCTGTATTAGAGGGTTCTTGCTGAGCAGGTAGAAGAACCATGAGAGGGTATTTGCACTGGTGTCCTTGCCAGCAATCATAAAATTCAGAATGATGTCCCTTAGATATTTGTCATTCATTTCTTCTGGATCCTTCTCGCTCTCCAGTAGAAACCTCGATAGTATGTCGTCCTTGTCATTCTTTGAAGCATAACATAAAGTTCAAATTTTAGAATTAGAAACTTCAAAGAAAAAAATTTATAGGAGTACTTTCAGTAACACACACAAACAGAGGAAGATGACAATGAAAGATAATGTACAAGTGCAAAGTTAACTTACAACATCCTTTTGCTCCTCTAGCAATTTCCTCTTGCTCCTGATAACTTGGTGCACAAAATCATCAATGACTTTGATATACTTTTTAAGGGAGGCCTCGGAACCAAGGTTGAGAAATCTTTTCAGTTTCCAGAATGGATCAACGTAGCGAAAGTAGGACAGAGCAGTTGATTCATCAAAGGCCTTCATAAATGCAGTCCCTTCTTTGCTTGACCCCTCCAAGCAATTCAGGTCTATTCCAAACCCAACTTTGAATATGGAATCCAAGGTACATCTCATAAGCAAGTCCTACAAAAATAATCATCTGTAAGAAAACGTAAATAATAACTTACACCATAAAGCTGTTACTTAAAAATAAGATAATGTTCAGAAACAATGTCCCTACGTTTTCTAATTGATCTTACTTTCAAAGATATTTAGAATAGATGGGAAGTACAAAAACTTTGGAGTTTACAATCTGAAATACATCGACTGGTATTTAGAAATGATTTTGATTATGAACAATTTTGTTTGATCAGAATGAGTTCAGCTTGCAATTTTCCAATTTCACACGTAAATGTTTCCTCTCTAGCATGCTTTACTCTCGTATTAGTTCCAAGAACCAGCCCAAATTAAAGTTGACTTTAGGATACCGCCCCAATTTTATAAGCATAGCTCAGAGTTGAGCTTTTATGAAACCAATTTGATGAAGCAACACTGAACAAGTCTATCTTAGCCTGCAGACTGAACCAACCAGTTTTATGTTATCTATATTATTGAATAACCACTGTGATCTGAACAAAACCAGAAGACAAGTTGTGAAAATTTTTAGAAAAAAATAAATATAAATAGAGAGAGAGAGAGAGAGAGAGAGAGAGAGATGTAGGTTTCAGATTACTCACTTGCATATCAAAAACCCCATTGGAACCTGAAATCTCAAAAACAACTTTAACCAGTTTGGCAGCATTTCTTCTAAACACAGAGCAGCTAACGTCTCTGAGAACTCTCGTCGAGAACTCGAAGCTTGCAAGCTTCCTCTGCTGCTTCCACTTTTCTCCATCCACAACAATATTCCTTGGCCAAAAACATCAGACAGAATAGCTTGCGTATACGCCCCTTTCGAATAGCTGGCAAAGTTGGTTTTCAGAACATGTTCAACGTTTCGTGCATCAGTCGTGTATAATTCGCTGTGATGCGGGGCTAGAAGCCTGTAAGTTGACTGTGTTTTGGCAACTTCAGTTTGGTAGTCATAGAGTCTGTTCAAGTATAAGAACTGGTGGTAGACAGTACCTTTTACAGGTGGGTAGTTTGGGTTTCTGATGGACTGCCGGTGAAGATTCTAAGTATGAAGAGGGACAAGGTTAGGAAGAAAAAGAGCAATATGAAGGTGAAGATGATAACAAGAAAACCCATCTTGATTTTCTTTAAGATGATAAGAGGCAGAGAAACTAATATATATATATATACATATATATATATATATATATATATACAGAGAGAGAGAGAGGGAGAGTTTTGACCTCTTAGCTACCCTAAGGTTGCAACCATGAAAGTGAAACGAAGAGGAGAATAAAAAATGCAACCAGACAGAACCTCTACTTTGACGCATAATACAATCTTATTCATCCTACTTCGTTATGCCCTGACGCGTGTCAAATGGCGTGTCAAATGTTGAGAACCTTGGGTTAAAACTTAAATGCTCTCTACCGTTGTGGCTTTCTCTTTTGTTTTATAGATAAGAGAGCTGTGGGTGGACGGACCAAGAGTTTGTCGTTCATGGCAAAAAGTTTGCGGGGGTGATGAACAAAAATCATAAACCTATTAGTATTATATTAGGAATCCATTTCTTGTTTTTGGTTTTTTTCGGTCGTCACAATCCTGTCTCGAATAGAGGTGCGACTCATTTGCATAGGTGTGTCGCGTATCTATTAGAAATATAGTACAATGTAGAACGAATTGCTCTAAACAAAATACATTTAGGGACCACACCAAGAACATTATTTTGCTTCGAATGTAAGAAGTTTATGAGGCTGTCCTTGCAACTGCACGCAGAGGGAGACCTCCATCCATGTGAAGGGTGAACATGGTCTTATAGGTTACAGTTTTTGTTTCATCGGCCAATTTGAAGCGGAAGAAGGAAAGAAGAGCCGTCGATACTATCTTCATCTGCCGGTAAGCAAAGTCTTTCCCTAGACATATCCGAGGACCTGCCTGTAAGTAACACAAGTGAAACCATTAGTGTCAGTTCAGATTAGATTAATTCACGAACATATGTGATAAAGAACAGAAAATATGATACTAACGTGAAATGCGACAAATTTGAACGGCGATTCAGGCTGGAAAACTCCATTCTTGAGCCATCTTTCAGGCTGGAAATCCTCGGCATCTTCTCCCCAAATATAAGGCATTCTGCCCATGGCATAGGCCATGTAGTATATTCCATCTCCTTTTTTCAATCTAAAGCCATCAGGAAGAATGTCATCTATCTCTGCACATCTCCCATCCTAAGAGGAAGCCAAAGACATAAAGAAAAGTTTAGAGATGAAGTGAAACGATGGGTCAAAGTTCATGCGGCATTGCTAAATTTTTCCCTAAAGATTAAATAAGTTAACCAGCATCTCAGTGGGAAATTGTCATAAAAATATATACGAGGTTATTTGAGTATACATACCACAGGAACTGCAGGGTATAGCCTCAAAGTTTCTGTTATTGCCGCGTGAAGATAATGCATTTTTTCAAGAGCTGCATCAGTTATATTGGCCACAAGTTCATCAGGGTCACCAACCTGACCACCAACAACATCCCTCACTTCTTGTGCAACTTTTTCTTGTATCAGAGGGTTCTTGCAGAGCATGTACAAGAACCATGAGAGTGTATTTGCACTGGTATCTTTGCCAGCAATCATAAAATTCAGAATTATGTCCCTTAGATATGTGTCATTCATTTCCTCCGGATCCTTTTCGCCCTCCAACAGAAACCTTGACAGTATGTCCTCCTTGTCGTTCTTCAAAACATAAAATAAAATTCAAGATTTCATTAACAAAGTTGAAATGAAATCATGTAAGAAACATAGAGAATTGTTTTTGCTTTTTCGGAGAACAAGAATGTAAAATCACTTACAGGATCCTTTTGCCCTGCTAGCAATTTCCTCTTGCTCCTGATAAGTTGGTGGACAAAATCATCAATGACTTTGACATTTTTTCTAAGCGTGGCTTCGGAACCAATGTTAAGAAACCTTTTCAATTTCCAGAATGGATCAACATAGCGCCAATAGGCCAGAGCAGTTGAATCATCAAAGGCCTTCATAAATGCAGTCCCTTCTTTGCTTGACCCCTCCAAGCAATTCAGGTCTATTCCAAACCCAACTTTGAATATAGAATCTAAGGTACATCTCATAAGAATATCCTGCAAAATAAATCATATGCAACAAAAATGAAAATCATATGCAAACAATACAGAACAACTCACACATACTCAAGCAAACAGTTATTAACTGCATGTCAAACAAATTGGTTCTTCTGATTATAAAATAGCTAATATTCTAATCTGAACAAGAGCTGAAGGCAATTTACAGAAAAACATTTATTTGTTGCAGATTACTCACTTGCATATCAAAACTTTTAGTGGCACCTGAAATCTCAAACACAGCTCTAACCAGTTTAGCAGCATTTCTTCTAAACACAGAACAGCTGAAATCTCTAAGAACTCTTGTCGAAAACTCGAAGCTCGCCAGCTTCCTCTGTTGCTTCCACTTTTCTCCATCAACAACAAATATCCCTTGGCCAAAAATATCAGACACAATATCTTGGTTATACTTCCCTTTTGAGTACTTGGAAAAGTTGGTTTTCAGAACATGCTCAATGTTTCGTGTGTTAGTCGTATATACTTCACTTTGCTCAGGGGCAAGAAACCGAACAGTTGGGTGTTCTTTGGCGATTTCCGTTTGGTAGTCATAGAGACTGTTGAAGTAGAAGAGCTGGTCGAAGACGGTTCCTTTTACAGGAGGGTAAATTGGGTTTCTGATGGACTTGCCTGTGAAGATTCTAAGTATGAGAAAACAGAAGGTTAGGAAGAGAAGGAGTACTGAGAATGATATGAAGGTGAGTATGATATAGAGAATACTCATCTTTCTTGGTTAGTTAAAGAGGCAAAGACAGCAATATATATATATATATAGGAAAATCCAGAAAATGTCAACAGTATAGCATGTTATATATAAAATTTAGTATGATCAAGTGGGCTGTTGGTTAAATATTGGCTTAAATTAATAGTCTAATCAAATAACATATTAAACTGTTTGGCAAAAGAGAAAATGATCTATACATGTAAGACAGAGGAAGCTTTATTCTCATAGGTTGCATCTATCTATGAAAGTGAAATGAAGAGAAAAAAACAACTGCTAGCTGAGGAACTTTGACGTTTGTTTATTATTTATATGGTTTGATTGTCAAAAGAAGAAAAACAGAAAAAGGATATCAATCCATGAGATTGGATGGTGCAAATTCTTTGTTATCTTTTTTTTCTTAGGCCGAAGACATTCTTGTAGAAGTGTTGACATGGTAGTTCTGTGTTCCCCATGGCCATGGCTGATCAGGACCATCGATCTGCTAGCGGGCGCGCATTCTGATCTTGATTTGTTTGAAAGATCAGATTGAATCAACGGTTATAATCTTCTAGTTATGGCAATTGATTCCTAGTCAGGAGACTAGGAGAGAGTACCTAACCAGCTCCAAAACTTTCTTACTGATTAAGGTTGGTAATTCAGTAATTCTTGCCTGTTAAGGATTGGACTCTTTTTTCTAATTTCCCATACTCACTTTCCTTTTGATGATCAAAATGTGACAAAATTTCTAACAAATGTGCATGGACTTATATCATATGCTGGGATGCGTAGAGGTCTTACCTGTTAAGGATTAGACTATTTCTTCTAATTCCAACTCATTTTCCACTTCACCAAGAATATGTCAACATTTTTATAATAATCTAAGATGTGTAGCCATGGTCTCACCTAACCATAAAACCACCATTTTCCATGATGTTGAGCTACACAAGGTTTCCATACTTAACCCAATAAGTCATGTTCATTCCTCTTCTGCTGGTGCTGAAGGCTGATTGCATTTTCTCTAGGCTTGCTAGCTTTTGGAGCATTCTCTTTGTGGTTTGCAATAAATTTTAGTTACCAAAACCAAAAAACAACAAACAAAAAGAGTGGAAGGGAACAAAGATTAAGGGGGAAAAGAGAGAAAAGTTGAAGAAAAGAATAAGACCCATCAGCAACCAGCAATTAATAAGTGGCTCAAAAGTAGGACCCCTTTGATTTTGAAACAAAACACATAGGCTCAACATGTTACATGCTAGTTATTACGTAATTTATGAAATTAGTAAAATATTTAAATACTAAATATTCACTAACGAAATAATAATTAAAATATAATGACTGATTAAAGTAATTGAAAAAGACTTAAGATATATTACTTTAAAAAAAATTGTCGAAAAGATATTACTTAATTATGTACTTTTAAAATATTCGTATACCTTTACAGAGTATAGCCGCCCGGCTATGCTGTTAAAATATTCGATAATATTTAAAGCGTATAGTTGGCTGGCTATACTCTTAAAATATTCGTACAAAGCATAGCCGTGCGGCTTAGATATTAATATATTTTAAAAGTATCGCCGCGCGGCTCTACTCTTATATATATATTTTTACGGAGTATAGCCGCTTGGCTATACCTTAAATATTGTAAAACCATATTTTCCACTTATTTTTATTTGCTTTCATAATTTTTTTATAAAGTATTTAAAACCATCCAATAAAATTATGTAATTTATGAAATTAATTAAAATACTTAAAAACTTTTTGTTCTAAAATTGTTTTGTTTTTTTAACTCACATCCGATATGTGATATATCTCTCACAGTCATAAATACTTTGTCCATTTAAAATTAAATGCTCAATTTCTTCTCTGCGCCGGAGTCTGAAAAAGCTAAGCTCCATAAAGAATGACTTTCCCGGAAAGTTTACTCAATTTCCCGGAAATGGTAAGAAACCCCTCTTTCTCTCTCTAAGCTCTCTCTCCTCGTCGTCCTCATCCCAATAATCGGCATGCATTTGTTCCAGACATGAGTTTCCTCAAAGGGATCATCGATTCTTTTGGTTCGGTCTTCTCCGCCGCCTCCTCCTCATACGAGTCTCACCCAAACTCTGATTCTCCTCCAAATTCGTCAATCATGGAAGGCATAGCTGGACCTGGAGCTTCGGTTTCCAACGAGCGTGTTGCATACAAGCTTAGGGGGTACTTCGATTTGGCAAAGGATGAGATCGCCAAGGCTGTTAGGGCTGAAGAGTGGGGCTTAGTCGACGACGCCATTGCTCACTATAACAACGCCCAGAGAGTTCTCGTTGAAGCAACGTCCACTCCCGTGCCTTCCTATATCAGCCCCAGGTTATCAATTTTTCAGCTTAGTTTCTGATTCTTGTAATTGTTTTCTTCTTTGATTTTTGTTGAAGTATTGCTGAAGTTGCTAGTCCGAAACAAATGGTGGGTAGTCTCTAAATTTCCGTCTAGGTATAGATATGTTTATGACTTTATATTTTGTAGAAATAAAAGTTTGACCATTTATATGTTAGATACAAAATTTTATCTTGAATTGAAAAGGTACAAGTTTTTCTGAGTAAGTGTGATTAATGTTGTAGCATATGAACTTTACTTTTGAAAGTCTTTTGTGTAAGTTGTGAAGTAAAAGTGGCATGAGTATTTGTATTTGGTTCATGACTTCAGTGACAAATAACGATTTTAGCAATTCCAGCGTGAAGAGCTTCATCTCTTAGAATAGGAGGCAAAGCATGACTTTGGGTTTGTTGGCTGATTTTTCCCTCTCGAAGGATGGTTTTGTATGTCCTAAAGAAAATGATTTGCATTCCTGCAAATTCGTTAGAGAGAGCAAACACAAATTCATTATCAAGTCAACCATGATGATCGATTCTGAGATGCCTTTCCATTGTTATCATAATAAAATACCTGTTCTTTGTGGCAGTGAGCGAGAGAAGGTCAAATCTTATCGCCAAAAAATATCAAAATGGCAGGGTGAAGTTTCTGAAAGGTTACAGGCCTTGAGTAGGCGAGCAGGTAATATCTCCTACTGATTCACTTACCTGAGCATTGTCTCCAAACTAACATAGATACATTCAACTCAACTTCTGACTTTTCTTTCTTTGCATTTGTTTCTCCCTGTCCTCATTTTCAGGTGGCACGTCTGTTAGCAAAGTATGGTTTGGTCTGACTAAAGAGTTCTGCATATTTGTCTTTTATTTTTTTCAGTTGAAACTTTCTTTAGACTTATACACAATAGTATTATCTCAAGCATCTAATGTGTATTCACAAATGCATGGGAGGAATTGAGCATTTGATAAGATTCAAGATTATTATATACTGTATATCTATAAAAAAAAAATTCAAAATCTTTGCAGAGCACCTTAGCCCATGCGCAGACTGCTGTAGTTAAACCAACGACATCAAATGCCAGAAAGCATGTGTTACCCAAGTCTCCTCGTCCCACTACAAACAGACCCGAAACGAGGAATCAGATTCAGACCAATAATATTGTAAGCTCAAAACCTGTGCAAGAGACTGGTGGTGGTTATGATGCAAAATTGGTGGAAATGATAAATAGTGCTATAGTGGATAGAAGCCCTTCAGTTCAGTGGGAAGATGTAGGTGAGGAATTTATCACATACTCACTATTCTTGTCTATATATTTCTTTCTCTTTTACTTTTTGGTTGCTGTGTTTGTTAAGATTACCAAGTTACTCATTTCAGTTTCTCTGCAGCTGGTCTTGAGAAGGTTAAGAAAACTTTGATGGAGATGGTTATTTTACCAACTAAGAGAAGAGACTTGTTCACTGGTCTTCGAAGGCCAGCTAGAGGTAATGCTTTGTAAGACTGTAACATCCATATTGATACCAGTGAAGCAGAAAAAGAACTTGTTTCATAAAAAACTTTGTCTTTGTCTTTCAGGTCTGCTTTTGTTCGGTCCACCTGGGAATGGGAAGACCATGCTTGCTAAGGCAGTTGCTTCAGAGTCTGAGGCAACATTTTTTAATGTATCTGCTTCTTCACTGACATCAAAATGGGTGTGTCTCTGTCCTTGGTGCTGCACTTTCTTTTTCTTATATTTCTAATTTTTTTTGTCCTTATAGGAATTATAATAAGTTTTACTTGCACTGAAATAGGTAGGAGAGGCTGAAAAGCTTGTGCGAACCCTTTTCTTGGTTGCTATATCCAGACAGCCATCAGTAATTTTCATGGATGAAGTATGCTACTTTTCCTGCAAACTATTAACTTTACGTTCAATTTCAAAAAGCACCAGCTTCACCTGTTTCATCTTATTGATGGTGTTATGAAGTATGCTATTTCATGCTTGTACTTGAGGACTGTATAGTTGATTTGGAAAACTGGATGAATGATCAGAGATTAGTATGTGGTTATTATCTCTATTTGCATTTGTTGTTGTTAAATGTCATTGTTACAGTTTTTTTTTTTTTTTTTTTTTTTTTTAGTTTCTTAGTCATCTTGGAGGGTGTATAGCTGTTATAGGTGACTACAGTTTGATGCCTTTACTGTTCAATATATCAGCGATGTAATTGTGTCTGTTTTGTGTGCTTGCAGATTGATAGTATCATGTCAACAAGGCTTGCAAATGAAAATGATGCAAGCAGAAGGTTGAAGTCAGAGTTTTTAATACAGTTTGATGGGGTGACCTCTAATCCTAATGATCTGGTAATTGTGATTGGTAAGCTTTATATCTCCTCTCTTTTTTTTCTTTTTTTTAAATGAAAACTTTATATCTCAATTCAACCAAAGCCCACCCTAAATGGTAAGGGCCGTTACTTTTATTAAATTGCACGTCAGTGTTGATGAAAGTCTTGGCTACCCTGCCTGTTTCAACAATGCCAACTTGATATACATTACCCTTCTTATATGTTATCATTAGAGTCTGCTGCCCCTAAGGGACCTTGATCAAGGGAAGTAATGTTAAATTTGGATGTTAATTAATTGGAACTAAGTAATAAACTTTCTTGATCCCCTCAAACAATAAAATTAAACAGGTTGGAAGGAGGGAGAGACCTAGTAAACTTCTGAACTATTTTCTTTTGTCCCAACATAGATCCTCACATTTCTTTTTCTTTTTTCTCATTATCTTCCTGAAGTCAGTTTTTGGGACTGTTTCAATTTTGCATTTTAACACACTTACACCTGAATAAATTATAGTACATCCTTTGATATCTTTTTTATGTGCTTGCAGGTGCTACTAATAAGCCACAAGAACTGGACGATGCGGTTCTTAGAAGACTGTTAGTTAGTTTTAGTTTTTTTTTTTTTTTTCTTTTTTTGGTTTTTTTTTTTTCTCTGAATATTCTGAAATTTTTCTAGGACTTAAAAAAGTTTGAATTGCTAATAAAATTAATTCCCCAGGTTACTATCTTATGAATCAATACTTTTTTTAAAATGTGTACATGTCTGTGTGCTCGTGCATGCATGTCTAATGCTTATCCAGTATTTGAAGCATATTTATCTGATATTTATACCTGAAGATAGGGCTGTGTCTTAGGAAAATGTTTGGGCTTGTAGTGAACACTGTGTTTGGTTCTTCTGTTACTTTAATAATGGTTATGTCTCGATGTTTTCTGCTCGGAAAGATTTTAATCAAAGAAACAAAAAGTACATGGGGTACAATTTGATCAATACATTCAGAAGTATCCTTCTCATCTTTTCCCCCCATTGGAAACTTTATAAATTGTTGATATCAATTCTTTTTACTTCTAATTGCTTTTTTCTGGTAACAATTTGATCAATACATTCAGAAGTATCCTTCTTACTGTAATATGAAACCCTGAACCAGGTGAAGAGAGTGTACATACCTTTACCAGATTTAACAGCAAGGAGACTGCTTCTAAGACACAAACTCAAGGGCCAAGCGTTTTCCTTACCAAGTAAGAATATGGTCTTATCTCGTAACCTTATTGTTGGATATTTTTCTGTTAAAGATTGATGATCCCATATTTTGTGGTTAGTATGATGTACACAAAGTTGTAGTTGACTGCTTTAATGTATCTTCATTGGTATCTCTTATTACAGTGGATATATGTCATTTTGTAGTAACTTGAAGATAAAAGTGTTCATAATGTCTGAGGAAACGTTTTTGGAACTTTTTTATTTATAATTAATATTTATTCCAACAAGACAAATAATAACCAAAGTGAGTGAACTAAGCAAGCATCCTTTTGTGCCTTGTGGTTAATCTTCTTAAGAAATTTACTTCTTATTGCTTGTATTAGGTGGAGATCTTGAAAGACTTGCAGGAGAGACAGAAGGTAAGAACATTTCCCCTGTTATACCCTTCTGAAGTGCTTTTCAGATAGCAGTGATAAGTCAATTTCATTTTGCTAAACTAATTTGACCAAAGTTGAGTCACTGGGTGCTACCAATCTCAGTTACGCTGAGCTAGTGGTTGATGGTTTACAGCTGGTTGCACTCACCTAGTGGTTGCTGGTTTACAGCCGGTGTTGTGATGGAATTGAACCTTAATCAAAATCCTCACCAAATAATTATCATTCTGATTAAATTATTCAATTGTTACTTTTATATACAGGATATTCAGGAAGTGATCTGCAAGCCTTGTGTGAAGAAGCTGCAATGATGCCTATTAGGGAACTGGGTGAAAACATTCTCACCATCAAGGCAAATCAGGTATTATACCAACAAGAAGGCCTCAAATAAATAGGTTGTACAGCAGTCTATAAATGTTAATTAATTTTTGGTCTATGCTTTAGTAGATATAGAAGTAAATTTGCCTCAAACACATCTTTACTTTGATGATCTGATTCATTTCATGCAAGTCTTTTTGCTGAGAATATGATTCATTGGAAATATTTTTTCCTATTCTGGTTTCCTTGGAGGCTGGGAAAAAAATTATGAGAGCTTGATCTGATAAATGAAGAACTGGATCTTGGATCTGAATTCTTCATGTTTGAAACTGATTTCTTAATAGGAAAAGCTTATGGGCCATAGAAAATGTTATGCAAAATGCATCGTTCTCTGCATTACATGGCACATTTACAACAAAAATAAATTGGCAGTGAAGAGAAAATGTTATGCAAAAATGCATCGTTCTCTGAATTCTTCCTATTCCGTTTCACTTAAATTGAAGTAATTTAAGTGATAAATCTTTTTTTTGTTATTATTCTTTATGGAAGTACTTTATTTGCAGAAGTTTCGATAAAAGAATTTCCTCATTCCAGTCACATTTGTTCATGTCGTTATTTGTTTACCAGGTAAGACCACTAAGATATGAAGATTTTCAGAAGGCAATGACTGTAATCAGGCCAAGCTTAAGCAAAAGCAAGTGGGAAGAACTTGAACGGTGGAACAACGACTTCGGCTCTAATTGAATGCCTATTACAGCACTCTCTATGATTTATATGATCAAGGCAGCCTTATTTATATGCTGCCACTGGTACAAAGAATGATGCTGAAAAAAGCCAGGAGGTGGGATGTGAAAACCCAAAAGAAGGAAAAAGCATCTCTAATTGTGTACATGGCACAAACCTCGCCTCAAATTGGTCTCTGCCTGCTCTTAATTCTTTGTATTCTTCTGTGTAAGGTATATATATATGTTGTATATTATAATCATAGTTGGGTTTTCCACGCCGGAAGGCCATTGTAGATGCGTTGACAAAATCTTTAATGCACCAAGAAATTGTAAAATTTCCAATATATTTAGCTCCGAGTGCCAATGAAGAAGTTGGTATTCAGATGATAATTGCAAGCGAGCTATCATATGAACTTTCAATAATGTTAAGAGTTACCAAATTCGTAATAAATGATGTGTAACGTATCGGAATTTTATCTATCAAAATAGGGATGTGCAAAAAGCTGCCCTAATATTTGGTTTTCGAAGGTTTTTAACTATAAAAAAAATGCAGTAATAATAGCAAGGAGTCACTGGAGAGCAAATCTAGTCGGATGACTTGAAATAGATGTGGGTTAGGCCAGTTAGTTAAGGAATGAGAAATCAAATTAAAAAGACTTGAAATAGATGTGGGTTAGGCCAGTTAGTTAAGGAATGAGAAATCAAATTAAAAAAGATGACAAGAGATAGCTGTGAGTTAGATTTGAAATATATGTGGGTTAGGCTAGTTAGTGAAGGAATGAGAAATCAAATTTCAAAGGACGATAAGAGATAGCCGTGAGTTAGGCTGGTTAGGCAGGACATCATATATGTGCAGTGCAGTCCTTACCCAAGTTCGAGTCTTTAATCCCTTTTTCGGGTTGTCGAAGGAGTCTGTAATCTGTTGAGTATAGTACTTTAGAGTATCATTTTGTCCCAAAATTTTAAAATAAAATAAAAAATTTATATTTTCAGGGGCTCCCCAGAAAAATCTACAGTCTCAGCAGTGGCGCTAAAAGGAAAATTCAAAATTTCCACATAGTGGTCGTCTCTCTCTCTCTGGAAAAATCAGAAGAAATGGAAAGGCAAGAAAGCCCAAAGAGAGAATGGTCCTTGCGAGACTTCGAGATCGGAAAACCCCTGGGCAAAGGGAAATTCGGGCGAGTCTACGTTGCCCGAGAAGCCAAGGTATTGAATTTTTCAATCGAATTATACCGAAAACAATTTAGAATTTGAAATGATTGATGTTTGGGTAAAAAATTTGGGGGCAGAGCAAGTATATAGTGGCATTGAAGGTGATATTCAAGGAGCAAATCGAGAAGTATAAGATTCAACATCAGCTGAGGAGAGAGATGGAGATTCAGACCAGTCTCAGGCACCCCAACATTCTTCGCCTCTACGGTTGGTTCCACGACGACGAACGCATCTTCTTGATCCTCGAGTATGCCCATGGCGGTGAGCTTTATGGGCTTCTCAGGAAAACTAATTACCTCTCTGAGAAACAAGCCGCCACTGTAATTCTCTCTCTCTCTCTCTCTCTCTCTCTCTCCTCTCTCTCTCCTCTCTCTCCTCTCTCTCTCTCTCCTCCTCTCTCTCCTCTCTCTCTCTCTCTCTCTCTCTCTTTGTGTTTTAGAAATTAATCAAATTTCATATGATTATCAGTACATTCTGAGCTTGACGCAAGCTTTGGCGTATTGTCACGAGAAGAATGTCATTCATAGGGATATAAAGCCTGAAAATTTGCTTCTGGATCATGAGGTATATATATGCTACAACCTCCCCAAATTTTTTCCCTATGCCATGGTTGTTTGGGTTCTGGGTTTTGAACAGATGGGAAATCTGGCTCGTAATCCCTTAATTTCTGCCAAATGTTTAGAAGTCGATTAATGTTATACATCTTCTGATCCCAAACAGTAACAATCACAGCATTTTCACTTGTTCAGTGTTGATTCCCTACTTACATAGAAAAAGTGAAAATAGGTCAGTTATTTTGGTTTCAGGGTTAACCTTTTAGGGATGTGGTTTTCTTTATGCAATTTTAGGAGAAATTGCAACCAGGGTTGGTTTACCTGTATATATGTACAGATTGGGGGGACTCTCATTGTTGTCATTGGTAGTCCCTTTTTGTGTTCAAGAAATAGTTTGAGCAAAACCGTGGCTGCTGGTGCTCGACTTCAAATTCCACTGCTATTGTACAATAGTGATATGTGATTAATATTTTCAAGAAGATTGAGCACAAATATGAGTTCTTATCCCGATGCAACTATTCTATACTTTGATTCAATAACTGGAAGCTATGTTTTTTATGTCTGCACTTAGGTAACGTATTGTCATTGAACAAGTTGAGGAACTGTGTTTGATTACTTGATTACATTATATTTTCGTAGGGTCGACTGAAAATTGCAGACTTTGGATGGTCGGTACAGTCCAGAAGCAAGAGACAGACCATGTGTGGAACTTTAGATTATTTAGCACCAGAAATGGTGGAGAACAGACCTCATGATTATGCAGTTGACAACTGGACTCTGGGCATTCTTTGCTATGAGTTCCTCTATGGTATTCCTCCCTTTGAGGCAGAAAGTCAAACGGATACATTCAAAAGGTATGAATGAGTGTTTTGTATGCTTCCACCCATGTGATTCCGTAACATGAGCTGAACCCAACTGAATAATAACTTGAGTTTCTATACAGGATAATAAAGGTCGACCTAAACTTCCCTTCTGAACCTCAAACTTCAGCAGAAGCTAAACATCTCATTACCCGGGTAAGTTTGTCCATGATTTTGTTCTTAATGTTAGGTGGGGGTAAATAAAACTCCAGTAGTTGTTGGTATCAGTATCCATTACCTAATTGAAATAAATTGAACTTCGTGCAGCTTCTTGTCAAAGACTCCTCAAAGAGGCTCTCTCTTCAGAGGATCATGGAACACCCTTGGATAGTCAAGAACGCCGATCCATCGGGTATCTGCAAATAGCTAGCTTTTCTGACTGTCATCATGCTCTAACCATGGCTGTGGGGAGCTGGCACAGCTGAGTTTGGTATATGTAGGGGGAATATTTTGGTCAGAATCTCATCAGCACCAAGAGACAATTAACTTATCTACTATGTTCACCAGCCTTGAGTTTCATGTACCATGTTTTGTGTTAAGGAAATCTTGTATCTCGCCAACTTCTGGATTGCCTATAATTACATCAGTTGCTTGCTGAGTATGCTTAATTTACTTCGAAGTTCTCATTGTAGCCACTAAACAATAACCATTTTTATAAAATTTGTGATTGTATATTTTGGTTTGTATAAAATTTAGATTGCATGAGTTGTTGAATTAATAAATAAACGCTTAAGCAAGATATAGGAGCAAGCTAGCAAGTAGCCTACTAGATACATTAACTTTCTTGGAAAAGTCTGTTATATGTTTGTGACAATGTTAAGGGAAATTGAGAAGGGAAAAATGTTTCGTAATTAAAGAATGCCGCTTTTCATGTTGAACGGTTTGGAAAATGGGATTTGATGTTCCAATGGCACTTGAAAAACATTTAAACATGTTTAGCTATTTTTGAAGATCTTTGCTAATGGAAGTTAAGAAATATCAAGATACAACATTAATTTGGCATCCACGTTTACCTTGTACAAGATTTAAAAAGGGAGGGTTGACCTACATGCCTTCACGAGCAAATCAAACCCCAGTTGAGGTCTCCGAAAACTAACGAGAAATACAATTTTTTTCTTCTTTCTGCTGAGATGAAAAGACAGTGAAATCTGAATATTTCCCTAAACAAAAGGCATTTCTTATCCCCTACGTAAAGCAAGAACAGAGGATGTTGGTATTTCCTCACAAAACAAACGGCCTTCCTTTTCCTTTTCTGTTGATATATTTCCATGAGGATGCTGGTTGCAGGAAAAACCACAAAATTCAAAATTTCGGATACCTCAAAATGCTGGAAAGGGTAGTCTTCTAAGAAGAAACATAACTACTGTCACAAGCAGTAAGGCTGGTATCTGTAAGAGTCGTGTCACTATCGCTGCTAGAATTGCTTCTTTCATCATTTCGTCCCAGTGGGGGATTTGCTGGGATGGAGATGCTGAGATTTGTATTAGGGATTGCACAATTAGTTTTTCTGCATATGGCTATTGTCTGAGAGAGCCGAGCGGTATTCATGGCAGCAGCTGAAGAAGGAACAGCAACAGGTTGGAAGTCTTTCATTTGCCTCTTTGCCCCTCTGTGGATATGCTGGCCACAATACTTCTGATGAGGAAGAACATCCCTTCTGCACCGCCACTTCTTTCCATCCGTTCTCCTACACCTCCCTGGTTCAAGTTCTACTCCACTTCCGTTGTCGAAGTATAAGCCATTGCAACCTAGAAGAGCTGAAAACAGTGGCAACTGAAATAAATACACAAATGATCCATTTGATTGCAAAGACAAGCTACAGAAGAATTACAAGTACTTCAACCCATTTTTATCCTTTAATTTTTTTTTATAGGACATTCTTATCCTATATGATTCCAACTTTGGGGCACTGTTGGCCTCTCTTGTTAAGGCCCCATTCGAATTCATAGGTAAGTAGTCAGATAGTTTGGTACCACAAATCAACACCATGTTCAACATTCTTTTGTGTGGAAAGCTTTTCAAGACCAGTGGTTATGCTTATCAATCCATACATATTTTGGGAGAAAAAAAAACATTTTATAGCACAAAGGTTCAATCTTACTCATGCGTCTACCTTGGAGAACGCTCTTCGGGGAGAAGCCCAATCCTGGTGATACATTAACAACATTCATGCTGCTTCCTCTGATCATGCAATTGCCACCAGCATGGTTGCTACTATTGTATTTTACACCAATATTGAGGCTATTTTCATTGGTACTGCTGTTGGTGGCGGTGGTTGGTCCAGCAATGGTGGTAGCGGCTACAGCAGCAGGGTTGGTACTAGCAGATCTGTTGGCTGGTATATTGGCAATGGATGTAGTTGTAACAGGTCTTATGTTCTTCTTACATTCATGATAGCCACTTGAGGCCATGGTTGTACCTTGGCTAACACTAACATAATTGTAGGATTGCGCCATAAGTTGAAGGCCTTTCGGGGTTGAAATCTGAAGGTTTGTCTTTGAGTTCTCTAACTCACCTTCTGAATTCTTGGGTGTTTTAGTGCTGGAAGGAGAAGCAACTTCAGAATTTTCCACAGGCTTTCTTGAACGCTGGCGGCCTCTGTGCATGTGTTGCTGACAGTATTTCTGATCAGGAACTACATTCTTATTGCACCTCCATTTCTTTCCATCAGTTCTTCTGCACCTTCCTGGTTCATGATCCCTATAGTCAAAGCCCGTTGCACTGAACCCTACAACTGAAACAATCAGTTGAAATAAACAGTATCAAATTCAACTGAATAAGCAGGGGACCCATTTCAAATATCATGCAAAAGAAAAGCAATCAACAAAGAAATATCCTTCAAAAAGTCAAGTTATCTAACCATAAGTCCACAGAAACAATCATTTAGAGAACATTAATCTATTACATTCAAGTTCAAATTCATGAAACTATCTCAATGAACAAAACTCTAAATTCAGGGGATGAAGCGATGAAAAAAACACTCATTTACTCAAAGCATATCTCAAACTTGAAGCCTAATACACAGACAGAAACATCCGTAAGGGGAAAAACATAACATGTTGCAGTAAAATTAACAGAAACAAACATGATGTCTTGACTAACACAATCCCATGAAATCTCAGGCCAAGTAAACCTTGACCTATCTAAATTTGAAGCAAAATAGGACCCCTTTTAAGAACCCAATCAAACAAAGTCAAATCCATGTAGTCCTCATAAACCCAAGTCAAGTTAAAATGTCTTAAAAGTCTCTCCCTCCCCCCTTTTCTTATAACTACCCCATAAGCATGCATTTAGTTGTTACCCAAAAATAACAATTTTTTTGTGTTGCTTGTGTGTCAGTTTGTGTAAAAATTGAAACTCATTAAGGGAAAGAGATTTGACTTACAACTGGGGTATTGTCTGTTGATAGCAGCAGCACTTGAGGAGCCAAAAGAGGCAGCCACACTCTTCCAAATGGGAAGCACAAGGTGAAAAGGAACAGGAAGGTTAGCAGCGAAGTGCTTGTAGATAAGCGCTTGTTGCTCCAGCTCATGCAACTGAGAAGCTGTCAACCCACCACCACCATACTTCTTCTTCTTCTTCCCATCAACAATTTCTTCAGTCCCATTATGATCATCACCATAACAATCAACCCCAATCCCAAGACCAAGCTTCACCTTACCACCACCCTCCTCCTCCATTGTCATCACAAGCAAATCAAACTGTTGCTTCAACAGAGGTGCAGAGAGAAAACCCAATTCAATTTGACTATCAAGTCTCAATTTTCAAGGCAAAAACAAGAAAAGCCAAGCTGCACAAGAGGCATATGACTGAATTGATGAACTGGGTCTGGATGTATTGCAATGTGTCTAAGCGAAATGAAGCCATATCTGCTTTGCTTTGCTTTGTTTTGGCTTTTGTTTAAAGTTGGGCGTGAGAGAGAGAGAGAGAGGGGCTGACAATCCCTGTCTCTGTTTCAGCCTTTTTCAGTGTCCGCAGGCAAAAGTTTTCAGACCAACTTCGCTTCCTTTCTTGGGTTCTTTAAACTGCGGCTCGTGTTTATCACGCTCCAATGGGTGGGATGCTTCGTGCTTTGCTGGAGATTTGCTCCACGCGCCTCTGAGCCAGGACGACTGCTTGTTGGCAGCAGTGGAAGCCCCGCAGGTCGACACGTCATCCGGTTTTCTGTTGGGTGGGGCCCACGTGTGGGTTGGGTTAGATTGGACTGGACTGGGCTGCGCTGGGCTATAAAGCTAGCCTAAGACCAAAAAAGCCCAATTTCGTAATAGTAGCCTCAAAGCTCAACACTGCATGATATCAAATTGTAAACTATGTCACTGCTCAACACAGCAAATTATATATACAAGCAACTGCGGGACGAAAAGGAAAGATGAATTTTCCTAACTCAACAACATACCCTTAAGTGACACGAATTAAAAGTACAACCATGATGAATACACATGTCATTACAAACATTACAAGCCATGTGAAACATGTAGTTTTGGACGTCTTCGAGTATATCTTGGTCGCCCGTGTAGTGGCATGGCCAGTGCTTGCCAAGCTACTTTCAACAGCCTTCTCTGTAGAATCAAGTATCTGCACATAAGCCATACCTTAAGTTATGAGATCGACTGATGACATTCGACCAGCTATGAATTTACATCAAAGGCACACCAGAGAGTAAGCTTTTATCACAACAATCAATTTTTGAAGTAACACAAGATGTTACATTATTCCTTTGGACATTTTTCCTTAATTTTGATATGTCTGATGATCAATGTTTTCTCTTAGGTTTTCTATTATTCTTCAACTTCTTCCTTTCTTTTAATTATCTGAACATGGAAAACTCAGACCAAATATCATCTTGCAGACCTCCCCAAACCCCTTTACTTTAAACTCTTTCTAAACAAAAAACTATATTTACTCTCCTATTACAGCCTAAACTCCTCTGCAAATCTACTGGTTTTAGCCTAAGAATCTCAGGGACTCTTTACATCCCCAACCTTGGTTTCTTTGTCTCACATTTCCCTTTCCAAGCATTTCTCCTGATTCTCGCACCTAAAATCCAAAACACTCTTTCACCTTATCTTCCCTTCAAAAAGACTTCACCCTGGTCAAATCAAACCACAGCCAGCTAAATATAAATAGTGTTGAGATTATAAAGATCTTACTTTTTCAGCGTCTTGCAGCGAGTGATTCATCATGAGACTACTCTCTTTGAGTTGCCTTGCCAATCCAACCATTTCATCGGTCAAATCCTCTTGAAGCTTTCTGTCCCATGAGAGAAAAACTTATAAGAATCTTAAACAGAATGTGGAAAGCAAATATAATCAACAGCTGAAGTTTTAACAGTAAAGATAGCCTCTGCTCTGGTGAGTTATCTGGTTTCAATTTCATCCAGAGTCTAGTTACTCCAGTTTAACAGGAGAACTCGAGAAAGTATGAAAGTTAATATGACAAACACCTATGTTTTTCAATGTGTGCTTGGGCTGCAGCATCCAGTTTCACAGGCGCTGAAGAATCAACACTAAGAATCTCACGAGTTCCATCTTCGGAATTTGAGGTAGGCCTATTTAACAAACAAAACCAGTTAAAATCATGTGATAGCATACGAAAGATCACTAAGGAGCTAAACAAAACCATGATCCTAACTATTGTTCACTTACCCAAATCTCCTTCTCAGACCTGGAGAAGGGGGAATCTGATTGTCTCCTGTATCAGAAGAGTTTGCTTTGACAGAAATTCTTGCAAAGGGCTCCTTGGGTGCTTGAATATCAGGCTGGGAGTTTGCCAAAGAAAACACAGTTAGGAGCAATTAACTCCATAAATTGCATACATATACATATATATTGTACAGAAACATTCTCTTGCCAGACTGTTAATCTAGACCATTGATCAGGTGGATTCCTGCTTTCATATATGGTGCCAGATTCACAATCTGCCATATAACATGTCAGATATCTAGCAAAAGAACACAATCGATATATTAAAGATTCTCTTTAGATATGATGACATAAACTGATACAACCAATTATATGTACTGAAGCATGAAAGGATAAATTCTCAATATTTTGTTAAGCATGAAATACCAATTTGGATCAGCCTAACAATATTTTTCTTTCTCAGTCGCTATAATTTCCAGACCTTCATACTAAACCTATTATCAGTAAATTAATTATAAATGATACATAACACTAAAAAAATTCAGAAAACCCTAGATCTAAAGAACATTTTCCAAGTGAACTGGTTAAGTACATAAAATCAACAATTCAACAAAAGTGACGTATGTGCTTTCTAGATCATATGTACGCACCAGAGGAGCAGCTAATTTGGAAGCAATTGCTTCGATCTTCTCTGAATAGTCGCTCAAAACAGCCTTTGCAACTCTGAACATAGAACCATAAATAATCATTCCAATTAGTAAATTAAGAAATTTACAAGCTCTTAAGACAGAGTATCAAGAAAATGCATATCATAATAACTCAAATCATCATTTGGATAAAACTCTTTCCATCCAAAATTCCTAAAACAACGAAAGTATGCCAATGATATGAGAAAATGTCTCTAGAACTTAATAAGAGTACATAAAAAAATTCACTCTAAACACAGTGATTAGAATGTTAATCAATATTTCCATCATATCATGCCTACCAAAACCCTTGGATTGATTTGTAAAGTAGAAGAAAGGAAGCATATTAGAACATGCATCAAATTATTGAAAAAATCAAAGTTAAAGTAAATCAAGGGGGAAAATTAAAACAAATACCAACCTTGGTAAGCCTTCTGGAGTTCTCTCCTCAGCTAGTTGTTCTACCTGTTCTCGTAAAGTAGCAACATACTGCAAAATTCCAGTACTTATATCATCCATAAAGGCTATATATCCCAAAAACACCCAAAAGAAAAAGAGAAGCTAGAACACAGATCAATTGTATGAAAACGAATAAAAGCATGTAACCTGTAATTCTAATAACAACATCCATATCAGAGGTGAGAGAGAACTCAAGGATCATACATACATGTACAAGTTTTGACTGGTTTTGTTGCTGAGGAGCAGCTGCAAGCAGCCTCCTCAAGTTCACCTCTGTTTTACTGATTCTCATCCCAAAATCCTACACCACTGAACAAAAAAAAAAGTTCAAATCTCATGATCTTTTTGTTGGCCAAGAAGTAAATTAGAAACCCCATGAAAATTGAAGAAGTAAAACTCATTTTGTGAGAAAATTACCATCCAAAAGAGAAGAAGTAGTTTTTCATTACCAAACTGGGAGCGCATGCAGAACAGAACTTGAGAATTTCCTTAAGCCTCTTCTTTCTTCTTCTTCTTCCTTATGGTGCCGCCGAAATCAATGCGGTGGAAAAACCTCGCCTCGGTCGAGAAGAAGAGGCTGGGTCTTTACAAATCAATTTTGTAACATTTTTGTTCCGACCCCAAATAGTATAGCCGCACGGCTATATTAAATTTGACAGGTGGCAACTAATCAACACTTTAAATATAATGTATTTAAATCGTATAGCTGAACGGCTATACTACAATTTTCCTTTAAACATAGCAGTATGGCTATATTATTTGGGAGTTTCACTAAAACACCCAAAATGGGGGTTGAAATTATAAAAAAATTCAAGCACTATTTAAACATATAAACACACCCAAAACCCATCATTACACACACTCAAAACCCATTTATAAACACACCCAAAAAGTTGACTTTGGGGTTGATTTTGGGTGTGTTTCTATGTTTAAATAGTGCTTGGGTTTTTTTATAAATACATGTCTAGGATTGGGTTTATTTATAAATTTGTAATATTATTTTTGACGTGTGGCACAATTGCCAGGTGCTATACGGCAGCTATGTTTTTAAAAAAAATAAATAAACAGTATAGCAGCGCGGCGATACTCAGTTTTTCCTAATTGTCTAAAAATAGTATAGCCGGCCGGCTATACTTGTTTGACACGTGGCGCATAGGCGTTGGAAATAGTATAGCGGGGCACGGCAGCTATGTTTTTAAAATAAATAAATAAAGCGTATAGTTGGGCGTCTATACTCATTTTTTCCTAATCGTCTAAAAATAGTATAGCCGCACCATACTTGTTTGACACGTGGCGCATAGGCATTGGAAATAGTATAGCTGCCGGCTATACTAGATTTTTTTCAATTTTTTAAAGAAATAGTATAGCCGTGCGGCTATACTTGTGTTTTGTCACGTGCCACCTATGAGCTGGGAGCGTCCTTTTTTTAATATATAAATAGTATAGCCCTCCGGCTATACTCTTTTTTTAAAAAAAAACATTTACAAACGTATAATTAGTTTCTTTACTTTTGTTTTTTGGCCTACTTCTTTAATTTAATATATGTAATTAAGTAATATCTTAGCCTTTTTAAATCACTTTAATTAGTAATTATATTTTAATATAAAAAAATTATAGAAAAAGTGCACAAAAAAATTGATTTCTATTTACTAAGTCTTTTATGTAATCGTTTGGGTGTCCTAATTAAATTTCTCCATAGCCCAAGATCTCTATCTATTACTATTAGGCCATTACTTGAGTATCTATTGTCCCTTTTTCATTTTTTACTTTTCCAGAATTATTACCCGTATAAAGATTCTAGCACCTTCACGTTTAATAATGTATTATACACGTACGCACGTATTTCTCATGTTTAATACAAATATTTTTTACAAAAATTTCAATAAGACACACAAAATTCACATATTATACACATAATTCTCAAATACAATTGAATAAAAATAATATATATTTTAAAAATGGTATAGCCGAATGGCTATACGCAGGTTTTCCCTAATTGTCTTTAAACATAGTATAGCCGGGTGGCGATACTCCATTTTTAAATTTGTAAAACAAAAATAGTGTAGCCATGCGGCGGTACTTGTGTGACATGTGGCGCTTAGTTGCTGTAAATAGTATAGCCGACCGGCTATACTAGATTCTTTTCGAATTTTTTAAAGAAATAGTATAGACGTGCAGTGATACTTGTTTTTCTTTTTGTTTAAAAAAAAATGTTTTGACATGTGGCACCTATGCATTGGGCTGGTCCTTTTTTTAATATATAAATGGTCTAACCGCGCAGCTATACATTTTTTAAAATAAAATTTTTTAAAACATATAATTAGTTTCTTTAGTTTAGTTTTTTGGCCTACTTCTTTTAATATATGTAATTAAGCAATATCTTAGCCTTTTTGAATCACTTTAAATAGTAATTATATTTTAATACAAAACAATTATGCAAAAAGTGCACAAAATAATTGATTTCTATTTACTAAGTCTTTTGGGTAATCATTTGGGTGTCCTAATTAAATTTTTATATACCCCAAGAGCCCTATCCGTTACTATTAGGTCATTACTCGAGTATCTATTGTCTCTTTTTCATTTTTTACTTTTCCAGAGTTATTACCCGTATAAAGATTTTAACACCTTCACGTTTAATAATGTATTATACATGTACACACGTATTTCTCATGTTTAATGCATATTTTTTACAAAAATTTCAAAATACACACAAAATTCATGTATTATACACATAATTTTCACATACTTTTGAATAAAAATAATATATATTTTTTCAAAAATGGTATAGCCGCACGTCCATACTCAGTTTTTTAATTGTCTTTAAAATAGTATAGCCGAGAGGCGATACTGCTTTTTAAAAAAAATTTAAAACAAAAATAGTATAGCCGCACAGCTGTAATCGTTTGACACGTGGCTCATAGGCGATCTAAATAGTATAGTCGTCCGGCTATACTAAATTATTTTTGAATTTTTTAAAGAAATAGTATAGCCGGTCGGATATACGCATTTACCTTTTTTTTAAAAAAACTTGTTTGACACGTGGCACCTATGCGATGGGCTCGTCTTTTTTTAATATATAAATAGTCTAGCCGCTCGGCTATACGTTTTTTAAAATTAATTTTTTTAAAACATATAATTAATTTATTTACTTTTGTTTTTTGGCCTACTTCTTTAATTTAATATATGTAATTGAGTAATATCTTTGCCTTTTTGAATCACTTTAATTTGTAATTATATTTTAATATAAAAAAAATTAAATAAAAAGTCCAACCAACAATTTATTTCTATTTACTAAGTCTTTTGTGTAATCGTTTGAGTGTTCTAATTAGATTTCTCCATAGCCCAAGAGCCTTATTCATTACTATTAAGCCATTACTCAAGTATCTATTGTCTCTTTTTCATTTTTTACTTTTCCAGAGTTATTACCCGTATAAAGATTCTAGCACCTTCACGTTTAATAATATATTATACACGTACGCACGTATTTTTAATGTTTAATATACATATTTTTTACAAAAATTTCAATAAGACACAAAATTCACATATTATAAACATAATTCTCACATACTATTGAATAAAAATAATATATTTTTTTAAAAGAATCGTATAGCCGCACGGCTATACTCAGTTTTTCCCTAATTGTCTTTAAAAATAGTATAGTCGAGCTGCTATACCCCTTTTTTTAAAAAATTAGAACAAAAATAGTATAGTCGGACGGCTGATGAAACGAAAAAAGAAAAAAGAACACTACTGCCCAAAACCAAATAAATGAATTTGTGATTAAGCAATTATGGCCTTGTTGCTCAAATCCATTATGATCCTTCTAGTGGCTAAAATTCTAAAAGTATAAAATAAATATTTAAATAAATAAACAAAAGTCAAGCTAAATTCTTTTATATATTTAAAATTTGATATCTTCTAATTTTGTGGAAAATAGTCTTGATTTGCATATTAATAGTCGCATATTCAAACCCGATAAATAAAAATGTAAGGTACAAATTCCATATGGACCATATATAACTTACAAATCTATAGGATATTCGAATTGACATGGTTGCAGAGCACAGCATCAAGTAGTAGCCCTCCATTTGGAAGCGACACATCTTCTTTATCATTGTTCTAAGTTTTTAACCTAATTGCCAAAATTCCATTTCAGTATTTGGCCACTGATTGTTCACCACAAATTACTAGAGGCCAACGACAGCTAGGGGGCCATATATGTGATTCATTTGTTAATGGAGGGGTACAGAGTCACATGGCAGCCAATTGGGAAGCAATGCCACACATTTTAGACCATTTATTTATTTATTTTAATTTGTTTATTTTTGTTGCTTTTTGCATGTGGTTGCTACAATTGTTGCCGACAATATCCTCTGCATACCAACAACTATAGTGGCCCCCCCAACTCTAAAGTCCAAAATTGAATATATATATATATATATAGATTTTATTTGTAATTTTGTAGCACTAAATTCCCATATGGGGTTGTCTTCCTTTTGCTCTCTGTGTTTAGAAAATTATTTAATTTAACAAAGCATATGAAAACAATGCCAAGATTTTTTTTGCAGAATACTAAATAACTTTAGAAGAAGAATGATAAGAAGAAAATATATGATCTTGTCGCATTATTGTTTATGCTTGTGATTGAGACAACTTGTCTAATCGAAACTTGTACACAAAGAAATTCGCATGCTTTCTCACTAACGTTTTTTTAGTGGTTTTTCTCTTCTTAATTTTCTGTCTCAATACTCATAATGGATTTTACATCTTATTCATATTATAATGCCATAATCAGTGATTGGAAATTTGCTATTTGTCCAAACTCTCATTCACAATCTTTGATATTGAATCATTACATTTTCTCATTTGGTTCAATAATATATATATATATATATTAATTCAACGATATAGTGTACATATCAAGTATCACATAAAATGAGGAATATTCTATAACAAATTGGATTCAGCCTTCTTTTATCATTATTACAAAAATAATGAAGAAAAATGTTGGGAGAAAACTTGTTGGCATTAAGCATTACCAAATGCGAGAATACCTGATTGTATAACGATATGTCTGAAGGTCATGACGTGGTTAAAGATTCTTGTTTTTATGCGTTATTATCTTGTCATGTGGTGGTGTTATGACTTTGTCAAGGTATATATGAAAAAGAAAAAAAAATGAAAATGAAAATGAAAATGAAAAGGAACTTAATGTCTCATTTGCTATAAGAAAGTCATGCTCTTGCTTCCAATTGAAGGAGACCTAATGCTTGGCAAAACTTTGTACAATGTACTCCACTTTTACCTTTCTTCTTTCCCTTACTAGCACAATATATTTGTCTTCAACCCAAACGTTTCAAGGAAAAAGAATTCACTTCTTAATTGTAGGGTTTCTTCAAGGGACTTTTTTTGTTGTTGCTCACCGTTAAAGTTGGTTGTATATTGATAATAAAAAATAAAAAATGTTTTTTTTTAAAAAGTTGATCGTATATAATGCCTTGCATTTATTTGAAGATTTCCATTTGGAAAGCAGTTACAGCTGTGTTTTGGAGGACAGCCTCACAAGTCAGAACCAAAACGTAAAGGGAATCAAAAATGGGTGGGGGTTTATGGTTAGCCACTGGCTCAAATCTTTCCCAATAATTTAGGGCACCCCTAAAAGCTTTGGTCCAAAACAATATGCTTTGCCTTTGAACAATCATTATATACATACATGGAGGACTGGCATTACGCAATTTACTTATATGGAATACGGATGGCATGGCAACCAGAATGAGACAATGCAGTGTTGACACACTAACATGCATATGGACCATCCTTTTTTTTTCCAAGGACAACACTAGCAAGAAAAGTGAAATGCTAAAGATAGTCACGCGTAGTTGACGTATTGTGGCGAGTGAAATTCATATTATGTAAGCGATTGATGCATTGTGACACAAGTAACTCAGTTATATCAACAATTTACAATCACTCACACAGTAATTATAAGAAAATCCCCAATACAAGGCTCGAAAGTAACACGAACTGAAGCATGCATTGACCTTTGGTTGAAGTAATCCAACCCTCCCAACCTAGGAGACCAAACCCAAGGTTTCTCAACTTATCACCTGGGGTTTAGAGCCGTTACCCAAGAACCCATTTTGACAATTTCCACCCATCATTTCATTTCCCATAATAATCACGTCCACTTCATCCACTTTTACCTTTTGTTGCTACAAACCCACAACATAATCACAAATCATCCATATCCCAACGGAAACCCACCAAAGGGATAAGGACATTCAAGTAATTTCATCTAAAAGAAACAGAATATAAGAAGCACCAAGCAACCCATCTCCGCCACATAACACAAAACCCATGCTTTCCATTTCCAGCTGTGAAGAAAAGCACTTTGCCTCCCTCCACATGGCCCTTCCTAAACCTAACCACCGTTAAACCCAACCAAAACCCCCTTAACCGTAGTTAACTCCCCAAAACCCATCTCTTTTAACTCAGAAAACTCTCTCACTCTCTCTCACTCACTCACTCAAACCAAAAATGGCCTCACTGAGCAGAGCTCTCTTCCTCCTCTCTCTCTTGGCCTTCACCGCCACAATCTCATCAGCCCACAACATCACTGCAATTCTCTCCGCCTTCCCAGAGTATAGCCAATACAACAGCTTCTTGACCCAAACAAGGCTAGCTGACGAGATCAACACCCGCCAAACAATCACTATCCTTGTCCTGAACAACGCCGCCATCTCCGCCCTCGCAGCCAAACATCCCCTCTCCGTCGTCAAGAACGCCCTCAGCCTACACGTCCTCCTGGACTACTACGACCCCACGAAGCTCCACCAAATCTCCAAGGGCTCCACCCTCAGCACCACCCTCTACCAGACCACCGGCCACGCCCCGGGAAATCTCGGCTTCGTCAATATCACCGACCTCCAAGGCGGCAAGGTTGGCTTCGGCTCCGCGGCTCCCGGCTCCAAGCTCGACTCCAGCTACACCAAATCTGTCAAGCAGATTCCATATAACATCTCAATTTTGGAAATCAACGCTCCGATCATCGCTCCCGGGATCTTGACGGCGCCGGCTCCTTCCGCCTCCGACGTCAACATAACGGCGCTGCTCGAGAAAGCCGGCGCCAAGACGTTCGCGTCACTGATCATATCGAGCGGCGTCATCAAGACGTACCAATCGGCGGCCGAGAAAGGCTTGACGATCTTCGCTCCCAACGACGAGGCATTTAAGGCGAAGGGCGTGCCGGATCTGAGCAAGCTCACCAATGCGGAGGTGGTCTCGATCTTACAGTTTCATGCCGTTGCTGGTTACACTCCGATCGGCACATTGAAGACCTCCAAGTCTCCGATTAGCACTCTGGCGACGAACGGAGCCGGGAAGTTCGATCTGACCACGACGACAGCCGGCGACCAGGTCACGCTTCACACCGGAGTCGACTCGTCCCGAGTGGCCGACACGGTTCTCGACGCGACTCCCCTCGCGATCTTCACCATCGACAATGTGCTTCTTCCACTCGAGCTGTTCGGAAAATCTCCGTCGCCGTCTCCGGGACTAGAGCCATCCGCCGCCCCTTCGCCGGCGCCGGTACTCGCTCCGACTCCCTCTACCGTTGAAGCGCCATCGCCTTTGGCCGCTTCACCGCCTGCACCGCCATCGGAGACGCCGGAGGGAGCGCCGTCTGAGGCTCCGTCTGCTGAGTCGGAGAACAGTACATCGGCTAACGTAGCTGGTCACGTGGCCTCACCTGCATTGATGATGACTGTACTGGTCACTGTCTGTGCCACTGTTATTTCCTCCGTTGTCTTGTCCTGAACGGTATTTTCACGTGTCTGTTAATTTATTTTGTTTTATCTTTTTTTTTACTTCTTAATTATTTTGTTACTTTGTAGTGGCTTGAGGTTTTATTGTTATTATTTTACTCCGTTGTTACCGGTTAGAGACCATAGAGGCTTTTTATTTGTTAATTTTGTTTTTATTTATTGATATTTTTAATTTATGGGTATCTGCGCATTTTAGCAGTTGTGCTGGGAGAAGTAATCGCGTGTGTCGCGTCTATTATTATTAATATGGTGATTTGATGATATGTTCACGATTGTAAAATCCAAGCGCATGGATTGGTGTATCTGACAGTGAGCCAACATGCGTCCACAGTGCTCGTGGCACTGTGTATAACTTAATTTAATATACTTTTCGAAATTTGTAGAGACCGCTTTATTTACAGTAAAATTCGTTCACTTATTTAATTCTTCGGCCAAGTATTTGTTCGCTCCTTCCAAAACTGAAGAACTGTCTTTGGTTTTTACCAAAATAAAATAAGAAATCTGTTTTTGGTACGGCGAAGGGACGGAAACTAAACTATACAGCTTCCACGAGCCAGCCAAAATTTGAACTTTGAAGTGCATGAGGCTTAGCTGAAGTGTCGTGGAATAGGTCAGGCTGTTTTCTTTAAAACCTATGCCATGGAAAAGTAGGGTGAATAAATGGGCCAAATAATTGAATAAATATGTGGATTAGATCAGTTGGACCAACTCACTCGTATGCTATCGAGCTCACTCACTCGTATGCTGTCGAGCTCACTCAAATTCGATTTTCTTTCCTTTTCATTAGAGTAGTTAGAACGGTATTCGATTCTCTTTCCTTTTCATTAGAGTAGTTAGAACGGTTTTCTATGACACTACACCTGGATAGTAAATACTCTTGACCAACTGAAGGGAAAACAAAGTTCCGAGAACATCCTGAGCTCCTTTTTGTTACTCCAAACACTACGTTTTCTATACTTTCACTTCTTATATATTTGGAATTGACAGCAGCCTAACAGAGGGGTCCAGCAAATTCAAAAATCAAACATTGAATTTGATTTTGAAACCAAGTAGACCATATGACCTGAAAAAAGAAGAAAGAAAGCATAGTCTCTAACTAACTTCTTCGCAAGCGCTTTAGCATATGCGGGAGGGTTTTTTTTTATAAAAAAAATATTTTTTTTTATAATTAAAAAAGATAATGGGTAGTTGTGTTTCATAAAAATAAAATTCATTATCTGATTTTTCTTTTCATTTTAATTTTTTATTAAAATATGAATAAGTGTGAATTTACTATATTATTGTCATTTAATTAATAATTTAAATTCTTAATATTTGGATTAACCAAGAGTATTTTATGGTATTTTGAATGTTTCATCATTTTATGTCTTTTGCTTTATATATACTAGCCTCTCCGCACGCGCTTCTGCACATGTGAGAAGCTTTTTTTTTATAAAAAAAATTAAATTTATTTTAGAATTAAAAAAGATGATGGATAGTTGTGTTCCATAAAAATAGGATCCATTATCTAATTTTTCTTTTAATTTTAATTTTTTTTAATATGAAAAACTGTGAATTTACCATTTTATCCTCATTTAATTAATAATTTCAATTCTTAATGTTTGTATTAACCAAGGGCATTTTCTGATATTTTGAATGTTTCACCATTCTCTGCCTTTTGCTTTTTATATATAGATATAGATGAAAATAAATAGAAAAAAGATAACCAACCACACAAATGTCAAGAGGAAAAGCTCTCTGCACAAAACCAAGAGATAGGCATGGGAATCCCATGAAGTCCTTATATTTTCTCCTCTAGGCCTAGGAACCAAACCATAATTGAAATCACCATTCTAATTTCGGGAATGTTTGGGAGTGCTTCTTGAGGCCAAAAATGCTTTCTGGTAACTAAAAGCGCTTTTGACAGCATTTGGCAAAAAATTTTAGAAGCGCTTCTGGATCATAGAACCGCTTCCTAAAGAAGCACCTGCTATGTGCTTCTTCAGGAAGCACTCTCAAGTGCTTTTCCATGAAGCACTTTAATTTTGTATGAAAATTCAAGATTTTTATAATAAAAACGCTTTTATTAAAAGTACTTATGAGCAAAAGTAATTCTTAGAAAAGCATTCCCAAACGAGCCCTTCGAAAGCTATAACATTCCAAACGACAAACTAACAATCTAGTGAGAAAATCTCAATGTAAGGGATAAAAAAAAAGTATAATAGTAAATGGTGATAATTAATAAGAAATGATCAAATTTTTTTTTAAAGTACAAGCAATAATTTCAACTAGAGGGGAGGGAGATTTCTATCTCTTATGGGGGTTTGAACCTAAGACCTTTGGTCTACAAGTCAATGTTGTCTTTCATTGGGTTAGACATCGTTGGCAGAAATGATCAAGTGTTAAGAACATTTACTTAGACGGTTTGATTCAATTTTGATGATTTTCAATTAGATTGAACCAAATCTAATCTAATTTAATATGCCGAACAAGTTAAGATATGATCCAATTCAATTCAAGCTACATTTTTTTGAAAAAATTTTATAAATACAAGTTGTATTAGAAGAGGTAGAAATCAAACCTAGACCTGGATGAGTAAATACTCTTACCAATTGAGCTATGTCGGTAACTTTTTCACCCATCCGTACATAAATAATTGGGATTTTTGTAGAAATGTCACATAAACTTATACCTCAGTTTCAATTTGTCACTTTAAAGAAAAATTTAAGAGAAATATCACCTTAATTTTTCAAAATTCATGATTTACCATTTGACTTTAACACTATCCAATTTTCCATCCATTTTAAGGGTGTTTTAGTCTTTCTATTTTCAAGGGAAAAAAAGAGATCTTTCTCTCCTTTTCTCCCCCACCCCAACCCAACCTGCCCCCAAAACACATTGCACATGAGACCCCCTCCCTCCCTGTCCTTATCTCTCTCTCTCTACAAATTTTCAATATGCAAATGGAAAAATACCAAAAATAAAAAGAAGAAGAGAAAGGTGGATTCGGTTTGGGTGGGCTGAAGGCCGGTGAGATTTTTTTTAATGCTTTTTCTATTTTTAAAACACCCTTGAAAATGGAAAGACTAAAATATCCTTTAAAATGGATGGAAATTTGGATGGTGTTAAAGTGAGATGACAAATCATGGATTTTGAACATTTAAGGTGACATTTCTCTTAAATTTTTCTTTAAGGCGACAAATTGAAAATGAGATATAAGTTCAGGTGACATTTCTATAAAAATCCCTAAATAATTTGATGGCTTATTTACTATTTCACCCATGGAACAGACACTTGGTATCACTTTACCCTCTCAAATTGAAATTTTCTCATTTAACCCAATGAATCTTTAAAAATTGTTAAAATTTTCTCACTTTACCACTTTCATCAATTTCCATCCACAAAACCGTTAAATGTGATGACGTGAATGGACATACTGGTAATTTTAGCTCCTTTTTATCTTCTCTCTCTCTCACAGCCAAAAGAGAATATGGGGAGTAGCTATTGAGGATATTTTTTTAAAAAAATTTGAGTGGTGGTATTGGTTTTGAGTGTGTTGAGTAATTCCTTGGAGGGTTGGGTTTGGGTTGGGGGTTGGGTTTGGCGAAGAGAGAAGATAGAAGAGGGGGAGGGGAGAGAGAGAGAGAGAGAGAGAGAGATAAGATAGCTAAAATTACACCAATGGTTTTATGGATGGAAATGGACTTAAGTGGTAAAGTGAGAAAATTTCAACAATTTCTAGAGATTATGGGGGTTAATTGAGAATATTTCAGTTTAAAGGGGTAAGGTGAGATCAAGTGTCCATGTTTCAGGAGTGAAACAGTAAATAAGGCTAGGGTGAAACAGTAAATAAGCCTAATTTGATTGATCGATTACATTTTCTCTTTTTAGTGACAACATCAGTTGCAGAAAAAAATCGCCAAGGTTGAAGTCAAAGCGGTGCCGTCTCGGATGATACGTTCGCACTTCACATACAAACAATAGATAACCGTAAACAAGAAAGGCGCAACCCAATCTGCTACGATGGCGGCCGAGCCTCCTCGCACCGCCACAAACACAGCAACTCACGCGACGGCCAAAACACAAGTGAAACGACCCCGTTCCATCTTCGACGTCCCCGCCAACTTTTTCGACTCCTGCGAGCTCCTTCAATCTTCCAGCCTCTCTACTGTTTCAACCTCCGAGACCTCTACCTACAACTCCGCCGTCGAAACCCTAGATGACTCCGAGCCTGAGCGCAATGAAGAAAACCGCTCCCAAAACGCCGTCGGAGCACCTCGGTGGACCTGCAACACTTGCAAAGCCGAGTTCGATTCCCTCGAAGACCAGCGCGCGCACTTCAAGTCCGATATTCACCGATTCAACGTAAATTAATTGTTCAATTTTACTTTCTTATTCTCGAATTGTTTATTTATTTAGTTATTATTTTTGTTGGAGGCTCGCTTTGGTTTATGCAATGAACATTTGTAAATGAGGAAAAAGCGAAGTTCTTGGGGTTTGATACATTGTTTTGTTAGCATTTTGGATATGCTTATATTGCTTTTGCTTAAATTTTGAATTTCTTATCACATTTTTGTTTCTTAAATGGGAATGCTCGAACTTACAGCGTTACTGTCCAACTTTCGAATTGCTAATCAGCTGTTTGATGTGTGGGACGAATTGAGTTTTTGAACTTTTTTTTTCAATCTTTTCGTTACTCACTAAGTGAACTAATTCCTCGGCTATGCGTGCGTGTTTTGGGGCATGTAGTAATTATTTCGTTATATATGATGATAGGTGAAGCTAAGTGTTGCTGGAAAGAGTATTGTGAAGGAGGAGGACTTTGATGAATTAACATCTGATTCTTTTAAAGACTATGATGTCTCGAGTATATCGGGGTCGGAGGAAGATGAGCCTGAAAAGGGATTTGGCTCTTTGAAGTTTTCAAGGGCAAGTGCAAGTATTAGGGAGCAGAAGTTATTTATCTACCTTCAGACGGGTGAGCGAGTTTCTGTTTCGAAATGTTTAATTACA